GTGTGTGTGTGTGTGTGCGTTGGAGGGTGAACGTGTTTGTGTGACTAGCTTGTGCATATGGCATGTTAATGCCCACTTCGAAGGAGGAAGGGGAAATTTATATGCAAGTGTTTGACTGTGCATGTATTTTTATGTTTGTTTGCGTATGTGTCTGTTAGCTTTTTCATTTTATTCTAATTGATGGTATGTGACATATCAACACAAACAGTCCAGCTCGAACAGATGAGAAGTAAAAAAGTTAATAAACACAAAACACAACTTTTAGCATCAGGAAAAAGGAATAATAATAATAATAATAATAATAATATAATAATACTAATAATATTGTGAAGAGAAGAGATTTCAAAAATCTGTATGAATGATATATACGAACTTGTGTTTCTCTTTTATTGAAGTGTTACAACTTAGTTAACCTTTAGTTAACCTCCATGTATTGTCCAATAGAAATGCACATCCTCAATGACGTGTTAAGTTTCACGCCAGTCATGACGTCATGAGAGCTTGCTTTCTGTCATCACTAAGGACGCCATGGCCATTTTATTCTATCTTCCAAACTCATACGTGATTCTTGGTTTTATTTTTAAAATCCGAGGGGAAATTAATTGAAGATGAAACGTGATGTCCAAATTACAGTACTTTTCTACCAATCCCCATTGTGCAACATAATGGTGACCTAAAAAGATGAAACCTCTCTAAGTAATCATTAAATTAGTAGGCTGCATGTATTTCAGCAACAGAACCAAAAAATAGTTCTAAGACTTCTACACATGAAAGAAATAGAAGATCTCTGGAACTAAATTTTCAACTGATAGGAAAATGTGATATCACCAATTTTTTTTCTGTAGACTCTCCATTTCAAGCACATGCAATATTGTAAGCAAATAACCATCAAATTGATATTTCAATAATAGAACCCCAAAAAAAAGTTTCAAGACTTCTACTTCTACACAAAATGAAAGAAATAGGAAATCGTTGGATCTAAATGTTCAACTGGTAAGAAAATGTGACATCACAATTATTTATTCTGTAGACTCTCCTTTTCAAGCACATGCAATATTGCAAACAAATGAAAAAAGTTGTTCAAGTGAGTTAACGCAACCAATGCTTTCATCTAATCGGTACACATAATGAAGGGGGCTCTCGTGGCCTAGAGGTTAAGGTGTTGACCTCTCATTCAAAGGTCCCGGGTTCGAATCCGGGTAGCGACCGAAAAATTTTCTTCTCTAAAATTGTCTCCTTTCATCTCCTTTCCTGCTCTCTAGCAATAATCTGTCGTCTGCTTTCGTCTCCTCTTTCTGCCCCCACCCCCTCACCTCCCTTGCCCCTTCCTCTGGGCTCCTGACTCTCTCTCTCTCTCTGCAGTCTTTCTACTGTTACTCCTTGACTCCTTCTTACAGCTGTCTTGCTACCACACCCCTGTTCTTCTGGTAGGAAAGATCTACACCTAGCCTTCTCGGACAAGGGCGAAAAATCTCGGAGGGCCCGTGTGCAAGTTGCGCACGTTAAAGATCCCTTGGTGGTCTAAAATCGATAAGAGTAGGCTTCGGCCGCCACCCGGGCAAAATTCAAAATTTCCTACCAACGAAAAAGTATTAGGTGTGTCCCGCGCGCTCATATGACCTTATGCAGTTGCGAGCGCCGTAAAACCCTATACTAAACAAACAAACAAACAAACAAACACATAATGAGGTTTTGGCTCTATCATAATAACATGTACGTACTATGTCATTTTGTAGAAATGTTTTATGTCTTGTAACTGCCCCACGTAGAGCTAGCCTGCTAGTTTCTTACCGTGGGTGCCTCTGGCTTGTAACTCCAAGGCTTTGGGTAGATCGTTTGTGTATAAAAATAATTGTGAGTGTGCTTTACGAACAATAAATTTTATTTAACAACAAAATATTGCAGTTACTGTATTTTCTCTCTCTCTCTCTCTCTCTCTCTCTCTCTCTCTCTCTCTCTCTCTCTCTCCAGACAAAGTGTGTAAATCAAGGGGACAGTGGGTTTAGTTTGTGAAAAATATTACCTCTTTTTTCTAACGCCCATTAAACTTTTTCACCCCCCCAAAAAAATATATTTTTAAAGAATGTGGGTTGTAACCATTAGAAGATATTCTTGAAGGATAATTTATGTATTATTTGTCATATTGGGATCTTTATCAAAACCAGACAAAATTATATTTGAAGGGTCAAAAAATGAAACCACTATCAAGGATCATATTCTCCTTCTGGGAACTACGGAACCGCCCTGAATTTTATCCAAGTTTTTTATCATTCGAAACCAAAACAAAAACAAAAAACATGAATAAACAGAAATAGGTTTAAATAAATAGAAATAGGTTTAAATAAACAGAAATAGGTTTTAATACATCTAGAAATAGGTTTAAATAAACAGAAATAGGTTTTAATACATCTAGAAATAGGTTTAAATAAACAGAAATAGGTTTTAATACATCTAGAAATAGGTTTAAATAACTAGAAACAGGTTTTCAATGCCTGCCTGCCTGTCTGCCTGCCTGCCTGCCTGCCTGCACGGTCTTCAAAGACCAAACTGCACGTCATGGCGGTCGTTACAGTAGTCATCACGTGACTGCTCCCCCCAATGAAGTTCGTGATTTATTCTTATCCCCAGCAGGCTGGGCACGTATTTTTAAATCGAAACCTCGTTAACTCCGCTGTTTGCGAGCTGATATTGGTCATGACTTTTATTATATTGTAGTTGGCGAAACTGTTGTAGCAGGTGTTTCCTCCGAAACTTCCGAAATTTATTCAACATCCCTCATCACTCATCCCTCATCACTCATCCCTCATCCCCCATCCCTCATCACTCATCCCTCATCCCTCATCACTCATCACTCATCACTCATCCCTCATCCCCTTCCTCGAGTGGAACCATTTTCGAATGTTTTCTTCAAACACAAATTCCTGAACTAATCCCACAATTTCCGAAGTAGGTCGAGATTAGTTGGTTCAGGTTTTGTTCTATTCTAAGGGTTTTACAAATGTTTAACCCTATCCGTACGCCCTGGGGTCATTTTGTACCCCCGGGATTGTATTCTTCGCATTTTATAATACTTCTAGTACGATGATCTTTTTGAAACTTTCAATAGCCTACTTCTAAAAATAATTTAAAAAATAATAGAACAATCAGAGGAAGATAATTGAGATTTCTGAGCCACATAAAAATACAATGTAGATCAATTGTGGGGGCCTGGGGAGCGATCCTGGGTGGGGTCGCTCCGGGTGCAGATATCAGATATTGGAAGTAGTAGATGGACTAGACAGCTTATGACGAATAAATGAAAGCGACAGGCAAGTTTCTTCGGACTCACAATACGGAAAGAAGCATTGGAGAATATTGTAACGACAGGCAAGTTTGGTGGAAAGAGGGACAGAGGGAAAAGATACTGCTGGACAAGATGACAACATGGCTAGGAGCAGCAAGAACAACAGACACCATTGCTGCAACGCAAGACAGAGTTGAGTGGAGGTCCATGATCGCCCACGCCAGTCGGCAAGGCGCCGGATGATGATGATGATGATGATGATGATGATGATGATGATGATGATGATGATGATGATGATGATATGGACTAGAGAAACTGCTGCTGTGTGGAAAGATAGAGGGAAAGAAGAGCAGAGGAAAAGAAATCTATCTATCTGTCTATCTATCTATCTATCTATCTATCTATCTATCTATCTATCTATCTACATGTATCTATCTATCTGTCTATCTATCTATCTATCTTTTTCTATTTATCTGTATCTTAATATTTCTCATTCTCTCATTGTAAACATGCCTCAACTGCCTGCCTGCGTCTGTCTCTCTCTCTCTCTCTCTCTCTCTCTCTCTCTCTCTCTCTCTCTCTATCTATCTATCTATATATCTATATATCTATCAACCCAGCTGTCTATCTGTGGATAATTTTCATTCCGGAAGAGTACATTTCTCATAATCCGGATTCCATCACCACTTTCCTGTTTACATACGCAAAAAAAAAACCCTACGCAGATTGCTTCAGAGAAATGAGGGCGTGTGTCTCAAGATGGAAACCCCCAAAGTGTTGTAGGAACGCAGTATAGCCACCCCCCTCCCCCTCTCTCTCCCTCTC